CCCCTCGTCTTAACATCAGGACAGGATGACCTTTGATGTTGAGGGAGGAGGCTGGCCCAGCCCGAGTCCGGCTGCAGTGGGCCTGTGAGAAGGGGGGGATGATGATGATGGTGGTGGTGAGAGGGAAGGTGCCGCAAAGGTAGGGTCGCAAAAGTAGTGTGGCGGCGTTTCTGGTAGGAAAAGACTGCAGGTCCCAGCGTCCCCCCCCCGTGTGCTAACCCAAGGAGTTGCCGTTCCGTAGCCTCCCTTCCCACGTTTCTCGGCCCTGCTTTGGACGCACACGTGTCGGGTCCACATTTTTCTGCCCCCTTCCCGCTGCTTCGAGTCAACTCGGAGGGGAGGCTGGCTGGTTTTTAAGCCAGACTGTCTTGTCTCACCACCGCCACCACCCTTGTTTTAAATACAGGGCTGAACACCCCCCCTCGTCCCCCCACTTCCCGCGGTTCTTCCTGCTGCCCGGGAAGGAGGGGAGGAGGCGGATGGGTCGAAGGCTCTTCGGTGGGCGGGAATTCTTCCCCCTTGCAACGCTCCCGTCAGCCGCTGGGGGGCGTCGGGGCTCTTTTATTTGACCTTGTGTTCCCACCGTGGAGGCCCCCCAAGGATACGCTTGGCTTATTCTTTGAAAAGGCTTCGTCTTCCCCTCCACTCTTTTTTTTTCTTGTAAGATTAATGCAACCTTTGCACCCTCCCCTTAAACGCCACCGCCATTCTTGCACCACTTTCCCATCTGGTGCCTCACCAGCCTCCTTGGTTTCGTGCCCTTTGGGTTGGTCCTCCTCAGTGAGCTTGATTTGCAGGGCTTTTTTGCTCCAAAGTCACTACAAAGTGGGCTGGGAGGGAGAGAGCAGTCCTATCATTTTGTATCTGAATGATCTAGAGTTAGTGCTGGTACTATGAATATTTATGATAACAGCAGGGTGTGCTCTCAAGTCAGTTCTGAGTTACTACAAGCCTTTTTGGGGTTTACCAGATTGCGAGTGCAGCAGTGCCTCGCTTGATGATTATAACTGGTTCCCAAAAAAATCGCTGTTAAGCGATTTCATCGCTAAGCGAAACACGGTTTCCCATAGAAATGCATTGAAAACCGGATAATCTGTTCCAATGGGAACAGATTGCCGTCCTTAAGTGAAAATCGCCATAGGAAACATCGCTAAGCGAAACACGGTTCCCCAATTGAAATACATTGAAACTTATTCAGTGCAATGGGGGGGGAATTACAACAAATTTAAAAAGAGTCGGAACAAAGTTAAATTAGTTAAACAAAGGGTTTATTAAGTGCACTTATGATTTCAAGCATTCTAAACATTTTTAAACATTTAAAAAACAGCCAACATGAGGCTGTCAAAACCATCGTTAAGCGAAACAGGGGGACCCAAACTGTCATCGCTATGCAAAGCATGGCCCCAAACATCACTATGCGAAAATCACCCATAGGAACCATCGTTAAATGGAGTGAAAGATCGCTCCGAAAAAGTCATCGCTAAGCGATTTCATTGTTAAATGAAGCAATTGCTAAGTGAGGCACCACTGTACTCAGAAGTGGTTTCCTATTCACTTTTGCAGGGGGCAACCCAGGATTGTGCAGCTTGCCCAAGGCCACACAGGCTAGCTCTTGTTGGGGAATCGAACTCCCAACCTCTGGCTCTGCAGCCAGATACCTAAGCCTTTGAGTTATCTAGCCAGGCTATTTTGTAATACTTGGAGATAAAGCAATATAAGCGCTTTCAAAAATCTAATATTGCTCTTGCTTTCTAATCAGAAACTAGTTAAAGTAGTTTACAGTAACAAATATTAAAAATTAAAACTTTATTAAAATACATTGCAGAAGCAAGTCAATTGAACTTTAAAATACAAGGTCAGTGCTCAGCTGATTAGCTCTCTTTCACCAGAACATCTTGCGCTCATATATATATATTTGCCTGACAACAGAAAAGAACCAACCTACCAGCCTTTGACAGAAAATTCCAGAATCTGTAAAGAGACATGTTGTTAATTTATTTCTGGCAAATAATGCCAGTTCTTTCTCTAGATCAAGTATGTACCCAACTGAATGTTGTTAGCACCAGAATTATGCTTGTATGTTTCTGGTTGGAAGCAATCTTCCAGGAGTACTTGGAGAAGTCTGTTTGTGGGCTAGGATTTTAATTTCCATTGTTTAAAGTGGTCTGTCAACAAGTTACCCGTAAATTTGTTTCCCTATTTCTATGTGGTGGTGGTGGAGGAGGTTTTCAGTCACTGTTCCTCTCACGTAGATGACATTGCCCGCTTTGTGTTCCAGAATACATTGTTTTGATATCTTTAGCTTCAGATCTTTTGCATGAATCAAAGAAAACTGTATTGTGGAAGGCGTAGAACTTGTAGTTCTAATCTTGGCCTGGCATGCATTGGAGTAGAGAGGTTTCAGGCAAAGGTAAACAACTAACCCTGTATGTTTTGCCAATTTTCATTTCTAGAATGCTACGTTTAGCAACAGTGCTACGCCAGATGAGGCCAGTATCCAGAGCACTTGCTCCACATCTCACAAGAGCCTATGCCAAAGATGTTAAATTTGGAGCAGATGCGAGAGCCCTTATGCTACAGGGGGTGGATCTTCTTGCTGATGCAGTAGCTGTCACCATGGGACCTAAGGTGATGAAAATATTTTCCTTGGCCTTGATGTGAAGCCATGTGTTAGGAGGAATGAACTGCAGTTAAAGTGTCTCCTGCCAGAATGTTGGAAAGCCTCTGTTTCTCAGTGGGAGAATCCCACTGGAATGGGAATCAGTAGACACTTAAAAATCGCTTACTTTTGACTGGCTCGTGCCCTTTGGACTTTTTTTTTTTAATAGTATGACTTGGTATACTTGGAAAGTTATTGCTGAATATATCTGCCTGAGGGAAGCATGTCAGTGTTAATGAAGTGGGAGCATGTTGTTCCTAGCCTAGGGAAAAGCCAGTTATGATTCTTGGCTTGTCTTTGGGATTTTGTAGAGCAGTGGTTCTTACCATGGGCGATAATGCCCCCCAGGGGGCGATTTCATTTTTCAGGGGGGCGGTAGAACGAAAAGGGGCGGCGTGGGGGCGCTGGAGCAGAAG